TTATCAATAATAATGTCAGGATGCAAATTTTTAATTAATTTTTAGTGTTTTAATACTAACAAAGATATGATATTCCTTGTGCGAAGAGTCTTCACTTTTACATGCTCTCTTATGTATTGTATCTAGTATCCTGGGGGAAACTCTCATGGTATAGTATGTAGGGTGCTGGTGCTTTGTATCATAAGGTCTTGTGTTTGGTGGTTTGACTTCACCAGCTGGCTTGAGGAGGAAAAAAAAAGTCAGCAGTATCCTTCCTTAAGATTCACAGTCTTGGACACCTAATAAAGGGTCTCTAAGTTTGCAACCTAATGGACCACAGTGAGTGTGATACAGAATACTGATTTGCTACACAGTAAATGTTTCTGAAAGGGGAAATTTGTGTTAGGATCCTTTCAGTAAATCCCAAAATTTTTATCAAGTCATGATGGCATCCTGTGGAAGAAGGAACCAGTCAGGCTTCTCTGTAATTAATAGACGGTAAGTCCACCTGAAGATTATATGGAAGATAATACTTATTTGAGTTTACTTTATATTATTCAATGGCATCTCTACTAATTTTTAAAAATTAATGCCAGATACATAAAACGCGGAAATTAACACATATGGAGTTGAAACCTATCTTTTGTTCTTTGAAAAGAATAATTTTACATTCAAGCTACTCCATTATGAAAGTATCCAAAAGTACTCAGTAGAATTTGTTTTTAAGAAAATGAAGATGTAAACCTTGACAAGACAAAGTTTGAAGAACTTTTAAATTACTCAATTATTAGGTGAATGATTGAGCAAATGAACAAAATATTTCCCTCTGATTTTCATTATGATTGGAGTAAAGAGAATTCGATTGTATACTATACCCAATGGATTAGAACTACATCCAATATAGTATACACTGCATACTATAGATAGAAACAATGATGTTTAGCAAAGTGCTAACAATCAGAATCAGACTTTGAATTTCAACTTCACTGTTATGATACTTTAAATTTATTAACAAGTTGTTAATCACACACTTTGGAGAACTTTAAAGATGGTACAGATTTTCATGTTGTAGATTGATGTAGTCTATATGAAAGTATGACGTAGACTACATGAAACACAAGAATTGTTCTCTCAATTATAAAGAAGTACTCGGTGTGATCTGAATGAAAGGAAGAGTGACCTGAGGATGCTCGTGAATCTCAGAGGTCTGCAAATATTGTTCCCTCTTATGAGTGTGGTTCATAGGTAAGATGTGGATTGGAGTTAGGGGGAAGAGATAAAATAGCTGATGGAGAATCTGAAGAAAGGAAAGAGAGAGACTGCAAGAGATCATGCCTCATTCTTTAGGGAACTTAAAAATTACTTAAGTTACCTTCATTTGCAAGGATCTCATTTCAACCCTACTTTAATTATAGCAATCTCTTGTAAAATACTTGACATTAGAATTTAGCAAACAGAATATATAAATTGCCTAAATAGTTCATCAAGGAATCCCCAAAGACATAAGACTTTAACTAACAGACATAAAAACATGATCTGACTAGGTAAATGAGGGAATTGACGAGATGCCAGGAGAAATGTGGACCACAATTCTAACCCAACAGAGGAGAGAGACTTCTTGTAAAGTACTAGTGGGAGAAACTGCACCTTCCAGGAGGGAGAAGCCTTCCCTCTCAGCATGTTCTCTCTGGTGGCTCCAAATTCAGTCTTACATTAAGTTTCTCAACTCAACATGAACTATTAATAAGGATAACAAAAGCATAAAGACCCCATTCCAAAAAATCCACATTCCAAATGATGTATTTATATTCTTAGCAGAAAGAGGGCATTACTGCCATCATAAAGAGACTGGCAATGCATGGTCAATACCAGTGCTTCTGTGGTCAGAGCGCTTTCCTTGGGGACACGGCCAGAGGGTGAATTTAGATAATTGCTGGTCCAGGCATCCCCTCAGCAGACAGAGGCAATCACTCCACACCTGACAGAAATAACACTGCTGTTTTAAGCTGGGAATCGAGGTGCTGAGTGAGAGGCAGCAGCAGTGGACTGGGCAACCGACAACTGTCCTGACAGACAGATGTGGAACAGAGAACCTAATCCCTCAGGATGATTTTCTTGCTTTCAGCATCCAATTAATAAAAAGTTTTGTTCTTCCCAACAATGGTCAAAACCACCTATTCCTTTAAAAAGAGAATCCTTAATTGTCATAAGACACTGATCCAAGAGAAAGTATGCCTCACTTCTTTATAATTGAGCATTTCAAGTTCCATAGTAAGAAAAGGGTTAGCCATTCTGAAAACTAGCCAGTGATTTGGCAATATTCTCTTTTGGATTGTTAGACTGTGACGGGATATGGCCTAACAATTGGCAAAAAGCAAATAAACAGTGTTGTTGGATTTGACTTTGGCCACAAAATCTTCAGAGACTTAATTGTCAACAATTCTTTGGATAGACTTTTACTCAACAATAATCTCTGCTAGTAGCTAGAAAAATATACATACCATCTCTAAAAATGGAGAAGGAAAACTTATTTATGTTACAACTGGTTCCTTAGCAACTTATCTAAGAGAATGAGAATTTACGTTCATAACTAACAAAACAAAAACACCACTTTCCAAAAAACCAGACAATGCTAAAGAAAGAGTTAGACCAAATCCTGGAAACACTGAAAAGAGTAAATCCTATGCAATTAGTGACTTGCATCCCCTTAAATAAACCATAATACTGTGG